AAAAATGTCTACATTGTAGAATAATAGTGAAGACATCAAAACTATTAAATAACACATATCGAATCATGTAGTAATGAAAAAGGTGTTAAACAAATCAAAATATATTTTATATTTGAGATTCTTCAAATAGCCACCCTTTGCCTTGATGACAGCTTTGCACACTCTTGGCATTTTCTCAACCAGCTCCATGAGGTAGTCATCTGGAATGCATTTCAATTAACAGGTGTGCCTTCTTAAAAGTTAATTTGTGGAATTTTTTTTCCTTCTTAATGCGTTTGAGCCAATCAGTTGTGTTGTGACAAGGTAGGGTTGGTATACAGAAGATAGCCCTATTTGGTAAAAGACCAAGTCCATATTATGGCAAGAACAGCTCAATAAGCAAAGAGAAACGACAGTCCATCATTACTTTAAGACATGAAGGTCAGTCAATACGGAAAATGTCAAGAACTTTAAAAGTTTCTTCAAGTGCAGTCGCAAAAACCATCAAGCGCTATGATGACACTGGCTCTCATGAGGACCGCCACAGGAATGGAAGACCCAGAGTTATGTCTGCTGCAGAGGATAAGTTCATTAGAGTTACCAGCCTCAGAAATTGCAGTCCAAATAAATGCTTCACAGAGTTCAAGTAACAGACACATCTCAACATTAACTGTTCAGAGGAGACTATGTGAATCAGGCCTTCATGGTCGAATTGCTGCAAAGAAACCACTACTAAAGGACACCAATAATAAGAAGAGACTTGTCCTTTGGTCTGGAGTCCAAATTTGAGATTTTTGGTTCCACACGCTGTGTCTTTGTGAGACGCGGTGTGGGTGAACGGATTATCTCCGCATGTGTATTTCCCACCGTATAGCAGGGAGGAGGAGATGTTATGGTGTGGGGGTGCTTTGCTGGTGACACTGTCTGTGATTTATTTAGAATTCAAGACACACTTAACCAGCATGGCTACCATAGCATTGTGCAGCGATACGCCATCCCATCTGATTTGGGCTTAGTAGGACTATCATTTGTTTTTCGACAGGACAATGACCCAACACATCTCCAGGCTGTGTAAGGGCTATTTTACCAAGAAGGAGAGTAATGGAGAGCTGCATCAGATGACCTGGCCTCCACAATCCCCCGACCTCCACCAAATTGAAATGGTTTGTGATGAGTCGGAATGCAGAGTGAAGAAAAAGCAGCCAACAAGTGCTCAGCATATGTGGGAACTCTTTCAAGACTGTTGGAAAATTATTCCAGGTGAAGTTGGTTGAGAGAATGCCAAGAGTGTGCAAAGCTGTCATCAAGGCAAAGTGTGGCTATTTGAGGAATCTCAAATATAAAATGTATTTTGATTTATTTAACACTTTTTTGGTTACTACATGACTACCTATGTTATTTCATAGTTTGATGTCTTCACTATTATTCTACAAAGTAGAAAATAGTAAAAATAAAGAAAAACCCTTGAATGAGTAGGTGTTCTAAAACTTTTGACCAGTTGTCACGATCGTTATAATAAGTGGACCAAGGCGCAGCGTGATATGCGTACATCTTTTTAATAGTGTACTTAATCAAATATACAAAACAACAAAACAAAACGTGAAGTCCTCGGTCATACACACACAAACCTACACGGAACAAGATCCCACGAATCACAAGTGCACAAAAGGCTGCCTAAGTATGGTTCCCAATCAGAGACAACAAGCAACAGCTGATTTTCGTTGCCTCTGATTGAGAACCACCCCGGCCAACATAGAAACACATAACCTAGAACAGAACATAGAAAACGAAACATAGACACTACACAAAGAAACTAACACCTTGGCTCAACATACAAGAGTCCCCAGAGCCAGGGTGTGACAGTACCCCCCCCCCCCCCCCCCCCCCCCCCCCCCCCAAAGGCGCGCACTGCGACCGCGCCAACATAAACCCAACAGGGGAGGGGCCGGGTGGGCATTCCACCTCGGAGGCGGATCCGGCTCCGGGCGTGACCACCACCCTCTAACAACCCCCCCATAGCGCCCCTGGTCTGGTCTGGCCCCGCTGGCTGGAGCTGGACTGGACCTCGGTGGAGCGGATTGCTTAGTCTCCGGTGTGGAGCAGCTGACCGGTACCTGACCAGGCACCGGTGAAGCAGGCACGGGCTGTGCCGGACTGACGACGCACACCATAGGCTTGGTGCAGGGAGCAGGAACAGGCCGTGCCGGGCTGGCGACGCGCACCATTGGCTTGGTGCGAGGGGCAGGAACAGGCCGGGCCGGGCTGGCGACGCGCACCACAGGCTTGGTGCGAGGGGCAGGAACAGGCTGGGCCGGGCTGGCGACGCGCATCACAGGCTTGGTGCAGGGAGCAGGAACGGGCCGGACCGGGCTGTGGAGACGGACTGGAGGGAAGAGCTGACACAACCCGTCCTGGCTGAATACCTATTTTTACACACTCTGTGTGAGGCATCAGCACAGGACGTACAGGGCTGTGTACTCGTACTGGCACTACAGCACGTGACACTGGCGCAGGATATCCGGGACCGAGGAGGGGTACTGGAGGCCACGAGCGTTGAGACGGCACACTCCGTCCTGGCTGCATGCCCACCTTAGCACGACACGTGCGTGGTGCTCGCACAGGACGTACCGGACTGTGCCGGACCACTCGCGGCACAGTACGCAGCTCCGCATACCTCGGAACCTGCCCAGTCTCACGCTGCCTAGCCTGAGTACGGGGAGTTGGCTCTGCTCTACCTCTAGGCTCCGCCAACCTCCCTTCCAGCCCCCCAAACCCGGTGGCCTCCTCTCCTAATCCACAAACTCGCCCAGTAGCTGCCTCCAGCAGCCCCGTCGTCCATGCCGTGTGCCCCCCCAAAAAAATGTATTGGGGTTGCCTCTTGCGTGTCCGACGTCGGCCCGGTTGGCGCCGCTGCTCCTCTCTATGGCGCGCCTCCACTGTCTCCTCCCACGGACGGTGATCCATACCGGCCTGGATTTCCTCCCAAGTCAGGACCCCTGCCCGTCCAAGATCTCCTCCCAAGTCCAGGCTGTCTGCTCCTGGACACGATGCTTGGTCCTGTTATGGTGGGATCTTCTGTCATGATTGTTATAATAAGTGGACCAAGGCGCAGCGTGATATGCATACATCTTTTTAATAGTGTACTTAAACAAATATACAAAACAAAACGTGAAGTTCTCGGTCATATACACACAAACCTACACGGAACAAGATCCCACAAATCACAAGTGCACAAAAGGCTGCCTAAGTATGGTTCCCAATCAGAGACAACAAGCAACAGCTGATTCTCGTTGCCTCTGATTGAGAACCACCCCGGCCAACATAGAAACACATAACCTAGAACAGAACATAGAAAACGAAACATAGACACTACACAAAGAAACTAACACCCTGGCTCAACATACAAGAATCCCCAGAGCCAGGGCGCGACAGTACCCCCCCCCCCCCCCCAAAGGCGCGCACTGCGACCTCGCCAACATAAACCCAACAGGGGAGGGGCCGGGTGGGCATTCCACCTCGGAGGCGGATCCGGCTCCGGGCGTGACCACCACCCTCTAACAACCCCCCCATAGCGCCCCTGGTCTGGTCTGGCCCCGCTGGCTGGAGCTGGACTGGACCTCGGTGGAGCGGATTGCTTAGTCTCCGGTGTGGAGCAGCTGACCGGTACCTGACCAGGCACCGGTGAAGCAGGCACGAGCTGTGCCGGACTGACGACGCGCACCATAGGCTTGGTGCGGGGAGCAGGAACAGGCCGGGCTGGCGACGCGCACCATAGGCTTGGTGCGGGGAGCAGGAACAGGCCGGGCCGGGCTGGCGACGAGCACCATTGGCTTGGTTTGAGGGGCAGGAACAGGCCGGGCCGGGCTGGCGACGCGCACCACAGGCTTGGTGCGAGGGGCAGGAACAGGCTGGGCCGGGCTGGCGACGCGCATCACAGGCTTGGTGCGGGGAGCAGGAACGGGCCGGACCGGGCTGTGGAGACGGACTGGAGGGAAGAGCTGACACAACCCGTCCTGGCTGAATACCTATTTTTACACACTCTGTGTGAGGCATCATCACAGGACGTACAGGGCTGTGTACTCGTACTGGCACTACAGCACGTGACACTGGCGCAGGATATCCGGGACCGAGGAGGGGTACTGGAGGCCACGAGCGTTGAGACGGCACACTCCGTCCTGGCTGCATGCCCACCTTAGCACGACACAATTGAGAACCACCCCGGCCAACATAGAAACACATAACCTAGAACAGAACATAGAAAACGAAACATAGACACTACACAAAGAAACTAACACCCTGGCTCAACATACAAGAGTCCCCAGAGCCAGGGCGTGACACCGGTAGTGTATATCTTTACAATTAAAAAACAAGGTGAGCCCCAAAAGCCAGATGGAGATGGGCAAATTAGACACGCATTCTGTCTTTATATTACTGTAGCATAGGCTATGCTGCAGCAAATGTAGCCCTACCTGTCACAAGAAAAATAGTTACCATGATGAGAGATGATAGGTCTACATGCATTGTGAACTGCACTCCATATTGAGATGGGCTGTCTGTCCCCACCCTGAGCATTGATTCATCATGCAGAAGCCGTAGAGAATCCAGATTTAGACATTGCGTATAATTTAACAGTTCCATTTCACACCATGCTCTACATTTAAATCATTTATTATAATGTACTGGTTTCTCACAGTTATTTATCCCAGGAAAATGTAGTGGTTTTGGGCGGTAAATCCCGGTAAATCTCGGTTCCCGCCATTCAACCCTACTACAGACTGAACTCTGACCTACAGGGTCATGATCTCATCTCCTATTGTGCGTTTAGAGAACAAATGAGAAAAGGGAATGAGAGAAGAGGAGAGGAGGTGATGTGTAGCTGATGGACTGTAGTTTGGTCCAGGTGTGTGTGTGTGTGTCTAGCTGACAGACTTTAGTTTGACCCAGAGGTGGTCCCGCGTACTTCCGTTGGTCATTCGTTGGCAAAGATGTTATTGCAGAGCTCATCCAATGGTGGCTATGGGTCAGAGATCGCAAATTGGGCAGCATCCTTGATCACCTTCTCTGATCTCTACATCTATCTCCTGTAGGGAGGGAGGAAGAACGGAAGGAAGAAGAGAAGGAGGAAAGAATAAAAGAAATTGTATATTAATTGGTGTACTTGGACCACCTGTGTGTGTGTGTGTGTGTGTGTGTGTACCTTGATCTCCTCCACAGAAGCCATGTTGTTGGACAGCATGTGTTCCTTCAGCATAGTGATGGGGTCACTCTTACTGCAACCTTTCTGGACCTCCTCACGTGTACGGTAGATACAGGAAGTTACATCACACATAGGAAAAGGAAGTGGGGTCAGACCTGATTAGCAGGGTTCAGCTCTAGCCCTTGGTCGAGAGAGAGACACAGAGCCCTGAAAAGGAAGCGGTGCTAGAGTATTGGTATTTTGGTATTTTATTAGGATCCCCATTAGCTGTTCCACACAAAACATGACATAATACAGAACATTAATAGACAAGAACAGCTCAACGACAGATCTACATACATTTAAAAACGGTACACATAGCCTACATATCAATACATACACACAAAATACCTCATTCAAATACGGGAGAGGCGTAGTGCCATGAGTTTTTGCTTTATCTGTTTTTTTTAAACCTGCTTTGCTGTTCATTTGAGCAATATGAGATGGAAGGGAGTTCCATGCAATAATAGCTCTATATAATACCGTAAACTTTCTTGAATTTGCTCTGGATTTGGGGACTGTGAAAAGACCCCTGGTGGCATGTCTGGTGGGGTAAGTGTGTCTGTCAGAGCTGTGTGTAAATTGACACATTGTTTCTTATAAAAATAAGTGATACAGTCAGTCTCTCCTCAACTCTTAGCCAATAGAGACTGGCATGCATAGTATTTATATTAGCCCTCTGTTTACAATGAAGAGCAAGACGTGCCGCTCTGTTCTGGGCCAGCTGCAGCTTAACTAGGTCTTTCTTTGCAGCACTTGACCACATGACTGGACAATAATCTAGATTAGATTTGCTTTTTGGAGTGTGGTGTCAAAAAAGCATAGCATCTCTTTATTATGGACAGACCTCTCCCCATCTGTACAACCATTGAATCTATACGTTTTGACCATGACAGTTTACAATCTAAGGTAACACCAAGTAATTTTGTCTCCTCAACTTGTTCAACAGCCACACCTTCATTACCATATTCGGCTGAGGTCTAGAGCTTGGGGAATGATTTGAACTAAATACAATGCTCTTAGTTTTAGAGATGTTCAGGACCAGTTTATTACTGGCCACCCATTCCAAAACTGACTGCAACTCCTTGTTAAGGGTTTCAGTGACTTTATTTAATTTATTTATTTCACCTTTATTTAACCAGGTAAACCAGTTGAGAACAAGTTCTCATTTACAACTGCGACCTGGCCAAGATAAAGCAAAGCAGTGCGATAAAAAACAACAACACAGAGTTACATATGGGGTAAACAAAACATAAAGTCAAAAAGTCAAAAATACAACAGAAAATATATATACAGTGTGTGCAAATGTAGCAAGTTATGGAGGTAAGGTAATGAATAGGCCATAGTGCAAAATAATTACAATTTAGTATTAATACTGGAATGATGGATGTTGCAAGAGATGATGTGCAAATAGAGATACTGGGGTGCAAATGAGCAAAATAAATAACAATATGGGGATGAGGTAGTTGGGTGGGCTAATTTCAGATGGGCTGTGTACAGGTGCAGTGATCGGTAAGGTGCTCTGACAACTGATGCTTAAAGTTAGTGAGGGAGATAAGAGTCTCCAGCTTCAGAGATTTTTGCAGTTTGTTCCAGTCATTGGCAGCAGAGAACTGGAAGGAATGGCGGCCAAAGGAGGTGTTGGCTTTGGGGATGACCAGTGAGATATACCTGCTGGAGCGCATACTACGGGTGGGTGTTGCTATGGTGACCAATGAGCTAAGATAAGGCGGGGATTTGCCTAGCAGTGATTTATAGATGACCTGGAGCCAGTGGGTTTGGCGACGAATATGTAGTGAGGACCAGCCAACAAGAGCGTACAGGTCACAGTGGTGGGTTGTATATGGGGCTTTGGTGACAAAACGGATGGCATTGTGATAGACTACATCCATAGCTATGGTTGCTGACACGTACTGTATATGGTTAAATCCTCAGCATACATGGACACAGAGTAAAATGCATCCCAAACCAACACTACACTATACTGAGGGGTGTCTAGACAGGCTAAAATAAGGAGTGAGGGAGGGTGCCAACACAAGGTGGTGGGTAAGGCTAAAGCAAAACGGAGTAAGGGAGAATGGATATAGAGAGAGAGAGAGCGAGAGAGAGAGAGGGTGAGTGAGTGAGTGAATGAGTGAGTGAATAAGGGGGAGAGGGACCGGAGGTCAGGTGATGGTCAAAGGGTCAGAGATCACATCTCACCTAACCCCGGGTTTGCTCATGCTGTGTCCATAGTAACATTAGGTCTCCAGCACATGACAATAGGACCCTGCCAGAGAGGTTTCCAAACCAAGAGACTCAACAAGGTAGCCAATGCCGCCATTACACTGCTGAATAGCCTGATCAGGGATTTCTATTGGAGCAGCAGTTTCTCAGCAAATTCCTATATCTATGCTCTCTGGCCCTGCAGCACAGCAGGAGTGGTTCAAGTGGAACTGACAGCGTTTTAACTACTTTGCAGATATGAAACAATCAGACAATCATAATATCAGTAAAAAATGTCAAATTCCCAGTTTATGCTACAAAACCAACTTTAGAAAAGGTTTTCAAAATAGTTTATATTTGACTAAAGATTGCATGACATACAGTAAGGCATTGTTGGCAGAACAGATCTATGCAGTTCAATGCATGATTAATACAATTCACCAATACATTTCTTGGTAGTCCAAAAAATATTGCTATCAGGTTGTAAATCACAGCTGGACTTGTACATTGTTTGTTGCCTCCACCCATTCGGGATGCACTGTTTCAATTTCAATGACTCAATATTTTGGACAAAAATGGACAAATGTAACTAAGGCTGGGAATTTCAATACAATCAAACTAGCAAGGACAATGATCAAGTCAGTCATAACGTGGCTAATAGGCTTGCATATCTTTTTATGTAGCTCTTTATTTAGCAAGCTAAAAACACAGAGCCTAACGTCAGCTAGCTAGCTGCTGGGAGGATGTCATGTCATTGGAGGAGTGGGTGAGTGACCGACTTTTTCCCCTCATATCGTTTTTCGGTGGCTACAGCTAATTTGGTTAGCTAGCAAAAAATGTTAATCGCTTTCCTAGCTAGCTAGCTAGCTAGCTATGCTGAACTTGAACGACTGTTATCCAGTTGGCATATCTCCTGCGTTCGTAAATTCCCTATGGCTATCTACTCTGGTTTCAGAGGACTCTTGTCTGAGTGTGCCAGAGCGCAGAATAACTGATTAATTTACAAATGCGCAACACCCGCTGAATTTGACCAGTGTCAGTAAACGTAGGCTTAAAAAGTAACAGTTAGTCACGAACGCTCTAGATAACATGCAAACAGCCTAACCAGCTCTGCTAGGGCGAGTGAAATGGTGAGAGTGAGGTGTTCTCTCATTTGTGTCTGGAACCGCAGACCACATGTATGGCATCGTGTGGGCGAGTGGTTTGCTTATGTCACCGTTGTGAACAGAGTGCCCCATTGTGGCGGTGGGGTTATGGTATGGGTAGGCATAAGCTACGGACAATGAACACAATTGCATTTAATCGATGGCAATTTGACTGCACAGAGATACTGTAACGAGATCCTGAGGCCCATTGTCGTGCCATTCAACCGCCGCCATCACCTCAGGATTCAGCATGATAATGCAAGGCCCCATGTCGCAAGGATCTGTACACAATTCCTGGAAGCTGAAAATGTCCCAGTTCTTCCATGGCCTGCATACTCACCAGAGATGTCACCCATTGAGCATGTTTGGGATGCTATGGATCAACGTGTACGACAGCGTGTTCCAGTTCCCGCCAATATCCAGCAACTTTGCACAGCCATTGAAGAGGAGTACGACAACTCTCCAAAGGCCACAATCAACAGCCTGATCAACTGTATGCTAAGGAGATGTGTCGCACTGCATGAGGCAAATGGTGGTCACACCATATACTGACTGGTTTTCTGATCCAATAACCTTTCTTTTTAAGGTATCTGTGACAAACAGAAGCACAGAGCCCCCACCCCCCACCCCCCAAAAAAAACCTGCTCAAGGTCGTTGGCCACAGATAAAATTACAGCAAATCACGTTATATCTACCGTAGCGTTGATTGGACTGATCATGTCAACATCATACTTTAAAAATCTTAGCGAGCAAGCTAGACAAGCAGTCATCATTATGAATCAAGTCGACAATCTACTGGCAAATCGTTTTCAATCCTTGTCATACCGAGAGGGGAAAAAAGTATTTGATCCCCTGCTGATTTTGTACGTTTGCCCACTGACAAAGACATGATCAGTCTATAATTTTAATGGTAGATTTATTTGAACAGTGAGAGACAGAATAACAACAAAAAAATCCAGAAAAACGCATGTCAAAAATGTTATTAATTGATTTGCATTTTAATGAGGGAAATAAGTATTTGATCCCTCTGCAAAACATGACTTAGTACTTGGTGGCAAAACCCTTGTCGGCAATCACAGAGGTCAGACGTTTCTTGTAGTTGGCCACCAGGTTTGCAGACATCTCAGGAGGAATTTTGTCCCAATCCTCTTTGAAGATCTTCTTCAAGTCATTAAGGTTTCGAGCCTGATGTTTGGCAACTCGAACCTTCAGCTCCCTCCACAGATTTTCTATGGGATTAAGGTCTGGAGACTGGCTAGGCCACTCCTGGACCTTAATGTGCTTCTTCTTGAGCCACTCCTTTGTTGCCTTGGCCGTGTGTTTTGGGTCATTGTCATGCTGGAATACCCATCCACGACCCATTTTCAATGCCCTGGCTGAGGGAAGGAGGTTCTCACCCAAGATTTGACGGTACATGGCCCCGTCCATCGTCCCTTTGATGTTGTGAAGTTGTCCTGTCCCCTTAGCAGAAAAACACCCCCAAAGCATAATGTTTGACGGTGGGGATGGTGTTCTTGGGGTCTCATCTGAACACAACACTTTCACCCAGTTCTCCTCTGAATCATTCAGACGTTCATTGGCAAACTTCAGACGGGCCTGTATATGTGCTTTCTTGAGCAGGGGGACCTTGCGGGCGCTGCAGGATTTCAGTCCTTCACGGCGTAGTGTGTTACCAATTGTTTTCTTGGTCCCAGCTGCCTTGAGATCATTGACAAGATCATCCCGTGTAGTTCTGGGCTGATTCCTCACCGTTCTCATGATCATTGCAACTCCACAAGGTGAGAACTTGCATGGAGCCCCAGGCCGAGGGAGATTGACAGTTCTTTTGTGTTTCTTCCATTTGCGAATAATCGCACCAACTGTTGTCACCTTCTCACCAAGCTGCTTGGCGATGGTCTTGTAGCCCATTCCAGCCTTGTGTAGGTCTACAATCTTGTCCCTGACATCCTTGGAGAGCTCTTTGGTCTTGGCCATGGTGGAGAGTTTGGAATCTGATTGATTGATTGTTTCTGTGGACAGGTGTCTTTTATACAGATAACAAACTGAGATTAGGAGCACTCCCTTTAAGAGTGTGCTCCTAATCTCAGCTGGTTACCTGTATAAAAGACACCTGGGAGCCAGAAATCTAAAATTATAGACTGATAATTTCTTTGTCAGTGGGCAAACGTACAAAATCAGCAGGGGATCAAATACTTTTTTCCCTTACTGTATACCTGTGTTCTCTGTTTGTCTTTTGCCAGTTTGTTTTGTTTAGTCAAGCCTACCAGCCTTTTTTTCCCGGTTTTGACCATTCTGCCTGCACTGACCCTGAGCCTGCCTGCCGTTCTGTACCTTGTCACACCACCCTGGATTATTGACCTCTGCCTGTCCTGACCCTGAGACTGCCTGCTGTTCTGTACCTTTTGGACTCTGATCTGGATTACTGACCTCTGCCTGCCCTTGACCTGTCGTTTGCCTGCCCCCTGTTTTTGTAATAACCTTTGGTTACTTCGAAACTATCTGCATCTGGGTCTTCTCCTGAAACGTGATAGAGAGACAACTCAGGATAGGGTACTGTCAGACCCTTATCCTGATGGGGTGTCCTATGACTCGAGATAGAGGAGTTAGCACAGGACCAGCCCTAGGCATAAGCGACATAGGAGGCCGCTTAAATTTATGCTTGATCTGAAAATGTGGTCAGCGGCTTCTTATGGACGGTGTGACGCAATTGCGGAGCGTCTGGAGGCATGCAGTGTCACACCCTGATCTGTTTCACCTGTCTTGTGCTTGTCTCCACCCCCACTAGGTGTCTCCCATTTTCCCCACTATCCCCTGTGTATTTCTACCTGCGTTTTCTGTTTGTCTGTTGCCAGTTTGTCTTGTCTTGTCAAGTCTTTCCAGCATGTTTTCCCCGTTTTCCAGCGTCTCTAGTTTCTGTTTTCTAGTCCTCCCGTTTCTGACCATTCTGCCTGCCCTGACCCTGAGCCTGCCTACCGTTCTGTCCCTGGTTAACACTGCCTTGGATTACTGACCATTCTGCCTGCCCTGACCCTGAGCCTGCCTGCCGTTCTGTCCCTGGTTAACGCTGCCTTGGATTACTGACCATTCTGCCTGCCCTGACCCTGAGCCTAACTGCCGTTCTGTCCCTGATTGAAGCTGCCTTGGATTACTGACCTCTGCTTGACCTGCCATTTGCCTGCCTCCTGTTTTGTAATAAACATCTGAGATTTGAACTCTCTGCCTCCTGTGTCTGCATCTGGGTCTTATCCTGAGTCGTGTTAGTACGAACTTGCCATGACTGACCCAGCAGACTTGGACCAGCTCTGCAATGCCGTCTCCTCCCAAGGAGCCACCATTGGAAGACATGAGGAGTTATTCAAAATTTTATGGAAGGATTCCAAACCTTGGCGGAACGCCATGACCGCACTTTCAATGTCTATTAGGCAGCCAGTCACTACTGTAACCCCACTGTCAGCAGCGCGTCTCCCCAGCCCACCCCAGCTTGCCGAGAACCCTGCTTACCTCCTCCAGAACACTACGCTGGAGATTCAGGAACCTGTCGGGTGTTTCTCTCCCAGTGCTCCCTAATCTTCGAGCTGCAGCCCTCCTCTTTTCCCTCGGAATGCTCGAAGATAGCGTACCTTATAATGCTGATGTCCGGGAGGGCTCTCGCCTGGGCTACGGCGGTGTGGGAGCAACAATCCACCGTGTGCTTCAGTCTGGAGGAGTTCATGGCGGAGGTGAAAAATTGTGTTAGATTCTCTCTTGTCCGGGAGAGGGGCTGCTCAGAAACTACTCCTACTACGTCAAGAGTCCCGTAGTGTGGCAGACTATGCGGTCGATTAATGCACGTTGGCCGCCGAGAGTGCCTGGAATCCGGAATCCCTGTTCGACACATTCCTTCACGGATTATTGGAGGAGGTTAAATACGAGCTCGCAGCCCGGGAGCTGCCCATGGATCTCGACTCTCTCATCGCCTTGACCATATGGATATTTAGGCGGCTACGGGAACGTAGGAGGGAAAATAGGTCTGTTCTCATTCACACTCGCTCGTCCAAGGATCCCACTTTGCCTCCGAGGAATACCGGAAGTCCCCGGTGTCTACATTACCGAGATAATACGAGGTTACCCGAGTTCCCCCCCGGAATCACTGAGGTCTGCCGACTCGCCTCCTCCGGAGCCTATGCAACTTGGCAGAGCTAGATTGTCTCCTGCCGAACGTTTACGCAGACTGAACACCAAGAGCTGTCTGTATTGTGGGACTACAGGTCATTACATTTCTTCCTGTCCATTAAAAGACCAGGCCCATCAGTAGGTACAAGTACGCTGGTGGACCATACGGAGAATTTCCAATCTTCCATTACTCGTACCCCTCTCCATGCCATCCTGCTGTGGGGTGACTGGTATAAATCTCTCCGGGTACTCATTGACTCTTGGGCCAACAAGAGTTTTATGGACACTACCCTGGTGTCAGAGCTGGGAATCCCCACTCAACCCCTCTCCATTCCCATGGATGTCAGAGCGCTGGATGGGCGCTCTATTGGCAGAGTCACCCACAATACTGTTCCTATCAACCTGCGAGTGTCAGGTAACCACAGTGAGTCTATGCAATTTCTGCTCATCGTATCTCCTCAGGGTTTTCATGGTTCCAGAGGCACAATCCCCTTATCAACTGGACTTAGTTCTATCAAGTGTTGGAGCCCGTTCTGCCATGCTCATTGCCTGTAGTTTGGCGCAGCCAGCCCCAGGATGTCTTCCTGCCGACTTGGAAAAAGCCTCGACCTCTCCGCCATTCCCGTGGAGTACCAGGACCTCCAGGAGGTTTTCAACAAGGCCTGTGCCACATCGCTTCCTCCGCATCAGCCCTACGACTGCGCTATTGACCTTCTCCCGGGCACTACACCACCTCGGGGGCGGCTTTATTCCCTGTCGGGTCCGGAGACCAAGGCGATGGAAAGGTACATTAAGGACTCCCTGGCTGCAGGGTGTTTCCGTCCTTCTGCCTCCCCCGCTGGCTCAGGGTTCTTCTTTGTTGAGAAGGACAAAACTCTGCGCCCATGTATCGACTACCGGGGCCTTAATGATGTCACGGTTAAAAATGTTTACCCTCTACCACTTATCACCTCGGCTTTCAAGCCGCTCCAGGGGGCTACGATCATATCAAAGTTGGACCTTCGGAACGCCTACCATCTGGTGTGGATACAGGAAGGAGACGAGTGGAAGACAGCCTTTGACACGGCTAGCAGGCACTACGAATACCTGGCGATGCAATTCAGACTAACCAATGCTCTTGAAGTGTTCTAGGCCCTGGTTAACGATGTTCTCCGTGACATGTTGAACCGGTTCGTCATTATCTACCTCGATGACATCCTAGTTTTTTCCCGCTCAGCTCAAGAACATGTCCTCCACGTCCAACAAATGAATTTATAACATTTTTGACATGCGTTTTTTCTGGATTTTTTTGTTGTTATTCTGTCTCTCACTGTTCAAATAAACCTACCATTAAAATTATAGACTAATCATGTCTTTGTCAGTGGGCAAACGGATGAATAGCATGTTATTCTCATGCTTAAATTCAAGGTCTGAATACGTGTAGAGAGAAAAGTGTATAAAAAGGGAATTATGTTCCATTTACGCGCGCCTAACTAGGGTCGGAATCGGACTCCAATAGTCCAATTATAAGCTAATGCAGTGTAACGCAACAAAGTAACAGTTTATATTGGTTGGAAAGAGGAAATAGAAATGAACAAAACAGATGTGCCTCCAAATGAATATGGTGAAAACTACATAAATTATTAACTGTAAGACCCTTACAGAAAAGCTATGAATTACCTCACCAGAGCAGCACAGCAACTGTGCCAGCTGGAAATATTTACTCTTGAGGCCTGGTGGTGGGCTGGCATCATCCAGGGCAGAGTACATGCCAGAGGAATTTAATATCAGGAGGAAGAAGCAGGTCGCTGAGCAGCTGGCACTCTGCCCAGGAACAACTGGAGGCCTTTGTGTTAAAAAAAAGAAAAAAAGAGCCAAAGCCTGTTTGGATCTCTCAACTCAAGAAAATGTTTCTGACATTAGGGCTGGTCTAAATACGAGGTCACTAAAAAGTTTTATGTATGAAATACAGTAGTTTGGTCCTTTATCTCTATTACATGAAAGGCTTCCTAATTGTTTTGTGTGTACAAAATATTTGTTTGACTTCTGCGCGTGTACCAACCAACTTATGTACTTCCTAATACCTTCAAATATTTACATATTCACATTTTAAGCAGAAAGGGCCTACAGAGAGAGAGAGAGAGAGAGAGAGAGAGAGAGAGAGAGAGAGAGAGAGAGAGAGAGAGAGAGAGAGAGAGAGAGAGAGAGAGAGAGAGAGAGAGAGAGAGACACACACACACACACAGAGACACACACAGAGACACACACAGAGACACACACACAGAGACACACACACAGAGACACACACACAGAGACACACACACAGAGAGACAGAGACAGATTCTGCAGTAGGTGGCAGCATTGTACTAACTTCTTCCATAGTGCTTCAATAGATCTGAGGACTGTCCCGTCTATTAGTCTGCCCTGTTCCAGTGTGTGTCCCTCTATGTATGAAACACGTTCTTTTCTATAGACAGACACATCAAAAAGTCTAGGCTATCACTGTTACCATGTGCACTATAGTGGGCTTATTTCAGTTTCGCATGCTCAATAAAGATCCCCCCAAAACTCTTTACCACAGCTCTCATGTATATCCTATGTAAAATGAATTTGCAATGCATACAGATTGTGATATAAAAACGTGTTATTATACATAATTTTTGACGATAATTATTGCCATTATAATTGTCCTGTAGGCCTGTCCATAAAAGGCACCGTAGTGGGTTAATCTGTTATTATGCACCGCAAGAAAGATTTTGGGCGGTCTCTCGCTGTAGGCGGCGTGGCGATTTATCTCACCGACAGGGGCTTCTATGTAAACTGAGGCTAAACAAATACAGATGAACCTCAGAGCACATTCACGAAAAATGCTGGCAATTTTGGATGGTTTAGAAGACGCTCGGAATCCACGGGAGCAGCAAGCGCCTGCACATGCGGTCTATTCTTATTTTTTGTTATATATAGGCCTAGTAAGCTTGTTGATGAATATTTATCATTACAATCAGAGTGCTGCATTACAAAGGGACCTTTCCGACTATGTTTTATTGATTAAATTACAATATAATATTATTATTGTACTGTTGCGCAATATTGTAACCTTACATATTTAGTTTATAAGGCAGTGGCACTGTTGTGCATAGTGCCTATTTGTGTTGAAATGAGGAATCCACATCTACTCAGCGATGGCTGGAAGACAATCAATGCAAAGGATGCAACTGGGAATAAAAAGTTTAAACGAAAAGGTCGGGACCCAAAACGTGTCACCAGTGAAGAAGTCCAAAGTTTCGAACATGATTTAAGAATGGAAGACGACTCTATGGGGGAACTGATGGAAGAGACATGTAGAAACCGTGTCCAAAAAAGACTGCAGGACCCTGGTACAGTTTTATCTGTGGAGAAATCTATCATTTCATCTGAAAACCCGAATATTGCTATTGACATGAGGATATATGCTTTACCATCTACAGTTACTGGGACGCTCCCATCGCAGTACGAGTCAACATCAACAAGCAGAGACTCTTTTCACAGCACATTCCCACAGGCTACAAGTTATGACCATCAACAGTCATTTGGGTCCGATCACACATTACAGTCCCGGATCGTCCTGTGCCAGCGCTCGGAGAGGTCCCTTTCCTCAGCTTCTCAGGCGTCCTACATCAATAGCAGCGACCTGGTGGAATCGCCAAGGAAACGGCTGGGAGAAACGTCTGGCGTCATCACTGAGATCAAAGCCGTTCAGCAGACACGGAGGCTACTGGCGAATGCCAGAGAGAGGACCCGGGTGCATACCATCAGTGCAGCCTTTGAGGCGCTGAGAAAGCAGGTATTTCCACTGAATTCACTAAACACACAACGCCCCTTGTACAGAATGTTATGTTTATGCTGAACTCAGAGTAAGTTGTTGCACTTAAATGCCCATTTCGGTGTGTCAACTGTATGGAGACATGTCAATTATGAAAATGATGGTGAATTTAACCATAAAACAGACCTACTTGAGTACTAACTGTATGGCCCCTTTTAGAGAAAGTGTATTAAATTAATTTCAGTGTAAATAATGCACAGTTTGCAAGGCCACATTAAAGATATGAGAATGATCAATGAAAAATCTTTAAGATATGTCAGTCCAAACAGTTGAATTGTCACTCTGATGATACCTCTCACAATGTCAGAAACAAGATGTCAAATGCATAGGAAACAGGGAACACGTTTCTTAATGACAAAGCTGTTCACACTCCAATAGGCCTGATACAGTATGTGTGTGTACTATGAACTATCAATGGCAACTAAAATGAATAACTCTTAGTTTACCAAATCCAACATGAAATCTCTATCCCTTTGAAAAGAAAATCAGGGAAGTTGTCACTGTGAACCCTTTTTACTGCGTCATGTCATCACCAGCTGTTTTGGCACATAGAAAGACATGGTGGAAAACTGTCACATGTGACACCAACTGACACCACCAACAGTAACTAAAGAGTATATACAGTAGCCTAACTAAAAACCTCCTAAACTTGGTTATATCATCCGCTCATATCAGTATATGATATACACTGAGTGTACAAAACATTAGGAACACCTTTCCATGACATAGACTGACCAGGTGAATCCAGGTGAAAGCTATGATCCCTTATTGATGTCACTTGTTAAATCCACTTAAATCAGTGTAGATGAAGGGGACATGGATTGTGTATGTGTGCCATTTAGAGGGTGAATGGGCGAGACAAAAGATTAAAGTGCCTTTGAATGGGGTATGGTAGTAGGAGCCAGGCGCACTGGTTTGAGTGTGTCAAGAACTGCAACGCTGCTGTGTTTTTCACACCATCCAAAGGACAACTAGCCAACTTGACACAACTGTGGGAAATATTGGAGTCAACATGGGCCAGCAAACATGTGGAACGCTTTCGACACCTTATAGAGTCCATGCCCTGACGAATTTATGCTGTTCTGAGGGCAAAAGCGGGGGTGCAACTTAATATTAGGAAGGTGTTCCAAATGTTTTGTACACTCAGTGTATAACCAAACCTAACCAAATTGTAACCCTATACAGGTGCCCTGCTACTCCTATGGACAGAAGTTGTCAAAGCTGGCTATATTAAGAATCGCCTGCAACTACATCCTGTCGCTGGCTCAGCTTGCAGACCTGGACTACACCCCAGATCACGGCAACATGAGCTTCCGAGAGTGCGTGGAGCAGTGCACCCGCACCCTGCAGGCCGAGGGACGCTCCAAGAAGAGAAAGGTAAATTGGATCTAGGGAAGAGAAGGGAGGGCGAGATTCAGTATTTAGGCTTTTGTCTAACGACAGTCTGGCCTGGGATTTTATCCTGTGCATGTCTTCTTTGGCTGAAGGCCTCATGCAGCAATGACTAGGTGGGGTGACATTGACATGGAAATGGAATCCTGCAAGTGGAAAGTACTCAAGCACACAGATGGAGACATTGCTGAGGGATTGTAATAAGTTTGCTTTAAAGTTCAAGGCTATCAAAAATGGAGCAGGGCCTCTGAAGCATCAGTAGTTAAAGAGAGGGAATGGAAAGCCAAGTCAAAGCCAGCTTCTAATTCAAACGTGTTTATTACAATATAGCAGATCAATAACATGAAACATAAACTATGCTTATAAACAAGGCCATTGATAAAGAGCAACAGGTGACCGTACAAGACCAATCAAATAATTGGTCATGGATATTTTACTTTAAAATAAAGCTAATTGAATGGAGCTTTTCATTATTTTCTTTCTGCTAGTTAAACACCTCTCCTCCTTCACTGTCATGTCATTTCATTTTTGAATGACTGGTGAATTGATGCTATCACAGCAGTGAAAACTTCCCTTTGACTGATCAGGAAGCTGCAAAGATAATTTTGATGGTTCCTGTCGGAAAACATGGGGCAGTGTGACAGACAGAGGGATGGTAATTCTAACGATAACAAAAGAGGAAAGAATACACTGTCTCCAATTAAGAGAGGCATTCCTTTGCCTATTAGGGATCCCATTAAATTAAATCATCATCAACTCGTGTTTGAAAGGGAACTGGGTGTTCCGCCAGTTTTTCGTCCAGAACAGAAGAAAAAGTGCCCCGGGTGAATAAAAGGGGTGATTGATGCCTTTGTGTGCAGTTTTATGACACTGGGAGTCATGTAAACTGAGGCTGAACTTCCTCCAGCTCTCTCCTGGATCCACACATCTGCATGGTCTCTCTATAAATCAACAGGGTTTTTAATGCACGGATGAGATCCAAGCATGGAGAACGTTGATTTACACATTAACGTCTTAACACTGTTCTATCAATTACTTTCCCCCCAGTTCCTCATCTGTCCCCTGTCAGTCTTCTCCTCGGTCACGTTATCTCTCATTTATTCTCCAGATTTTTCTATCACCCTCTCATTCACTTTCCTCCCATATTTAATGGTGAAACAACATTATAATTGAATCTACATTTTAAACACATTGTTAGTCATTTAGTCATATCTGGAAAGTAAGTGCCCAAAAGTGATTAATTACATTTTTTTATGTAATTTGGGTAAATGTCACAGAGAGGATTCCAGCTGATCTTCATTTATTGCCAAAACTAATACCATAACACAAATAAGTTGATTACCCCTGACTATTCATTAAAGTATTGATTAAATAAATAAAAAAACTTAAAAAAAAAACTTAAACAAGTTGTATTTCATATACATAAATCGCAAATTACATCTTCAAACTTTTTTTTACATCCCCTGTAAACAGGTTGATGAAAACATTTTAAAACGTTTCTTAAAGGAAATAATAACACAATGATGAATTGAGTTTTTGTTCATAGATTACATATCCAACATAATTACATGCATGTAACTTTTCCCTGCACTCCTAGTGCTCTGCTCCCTCTAGCTCTCTCTCCCTCACTGTGAGCTAATGTGTTTCACTAGCATAAGCGCATTCACAAGGAAACTAGCTGAGCTGCTTTTTTTCCTGGCAGTCCCAGACACCAGATGTTTGCAACGCTAGTTGGGAAGTCCTGCTGGCGCCACTCAGGGCAGAGGGCAGGGTGAAGGCACGCGAGCTGAAGCCCAGAGAACTCACTCGCTGCAGGAATTGGCACATTCCCCAGCACGGTGCTGGCACATTCCCCAGCTCTCCCTTGGCCATCTGTTCCAAAAAAACACTTTGAAAAAAACTGAAAAACACTGATCATCACTCTCTCAGGATACAGCACTGAGCAGCAGCTGTTACAGAGACCGGGAGAAAGAGAGAGGGAGAGAGAGAGAGGTGGGTGGGTGGTGGGGGCTCTTTGTAAGAAAGAAATCCCTTTGTCAGAGAGAGCCAGTGAGTCTGAGGGGAAACGTTTGAGGGGATTTTTTTTTTTTTTATGCATAGTGATTAAAGGCATTTAGAACTTATTCCTGCGCTTATTTAAAGCCCTGAACTCTGCTCTGAATTCACTTATTGTCTACTCATTGGAACTCTTTTCCAAAAACATTTAAAATCTAGCACCTAATTAATACTTATAGTTATACTTTTATAAACATGTTAATTAAATCACAGATTTGTGGATATTCACATGTAAAATGGAAGACTTATTTTCAGAAGTATTTGGAAAACAAATGAATGGAAATGGAATCATAAACACTAAACAGTTTACTTTAAAAAGTTAAGTACAACAAACAAACACCATCAAGTCATAAACACATGTTCAAATTCTCTGGCATGTGTCCTTGCCCTCAATGAGGAGGTAAAGAGGGGAAAGTAGAATCTGTCTCTTTATAGAAACACAATAAGAAAAATGTTTTGGTTGGTTTGCATCCAACGCTAAAGAGAGGGCCAAATAATTTTGTTGTGTCCCACTCAATTCTACACTGCATCTGATCTGACAAAGCAGTTCCTTTACTGGAATGGTTTATATATTTCTACCCCTTGTATTTACATTGACAACTCAGCACCTATGAAGTAATCGGATATGCATGCAAGCTTTATCTTTACAGTTCTATTTGTACACATCCCACCACCTCTTGATATGCACCCACAAGAGATTGTTTTCACATCTTGATACATGCTTTTATGTCTTTTATAGGACTAAAATCAGTGGAGTGAACCAGACTTCTTAACAAGGCCCTTGAAAAAAAGAAACTCTTCAGACCTCTTCTTCATCAAGGCCACTCTTGGGAGGAGACTACAATCAGGCACTTAGCCATATGATGGACCTAATTTCATAGGCCTACTTGATACCTGTTGAGGTAGCAGACATATCAAGATTCACCAGTTATGGATATGTTTCTGCCTGTCATGAGTTGGAATGAATCTCATTTGGTTGATGTTTGAAGAGTTAAAAGTGGGAGACAGCATTGGATGTTCTTCATGCAAACAAGCAACCATGCCTGCTGGATGACATCAGATTGTTTAATCCCATTGACAATTACATTTTAGTCATTAAGCAGACGCTCTTATCCCGCACAATTTACAGTAGTGAGTACCCACATTTTTCATACATTCTTTTTTTTTCTTCCTGTACTGGTCCCCCATGGGAATTGATCCCACTACCCTGGCGTTGCAAGTGCCATGCTTTACCAACTGAGCCACACAGGACCAATTGGAGGCAGAGACAGCAGTGATTATAACAGTTCATAACTGTAATTATAACAATTGTATTCAACTATAAATCCCAATGCCTTTTCAATTATGTACATGTACATGTTTCTCTTGACAGTATGATTTGTAATTCCTGCTTGATGGAAGCTAACTATTGAAAGCGCTCATAACATATATTTGACTACAACATAACTTGAAATAATATGACATACAGTAATGGTATTTTATTCAGCAACTGTTTTTAGGTGTTGAAGTATGAATGAAGTAAAATGGGTTATTCTCTACTACCTGTGCTCAGTATTTAACAACATCCCAGATTGATACATTTAAATGTGACCTCCCTTTCCCTTTCAGCATGACAATTCTCTGACTGTTGTTCTGTGCTCATCAAGCACTTTCTAACCAGAAATAAAGGAACTGTTGTTAATTTATTTGAATGGATATCTATGATCATTAAACACATTTAACATCTTTAAATTACTAACTCAAGTGCTGCCAACCTAAATCACGACATTCATACACTACACCTTCAAACAGCTTATTGCAGCTGTAGAGAGAGCATCCATGCAGTTTCCCTCGAAACAAATATGTAATTATGAAGATGAATAACACATCATTTAATTTTCCATCTGAAGCTACCTCCTGTGTGTGTTTTAAATCTTGATGTGTTATTATGTGCTCACGCTTAATCGTAGACTACAATAAGTATCTTTCAGGCAAGAGTCATAAAAAGGACATCCCAAAGGGACTTGTCAACATCACCACTGTTGGTGTCCCACAAAATCAGTATTTTCCAGAACTGGAGTCCATTTAATAGAATTTGGAGATTGATGAAAAATATGTTATGGTAATTTGTATAGGCTATTTGTATAGGGTATTGCATCCAATGGTTCTTCAAAGGTCAACAGAGATTGAATAATGTTGTTCTGCATTACATTAACTTTTGCCTTTTCAACAAAGTACTACAAGTTAAAACTATTAAAATACTTACTTTTCTAAAAGGCTACAAAAGTCACATGGATTTAATTACAAATATATTCTAATAAATTACATTCATTTTCATGTAATAAAGGGCATTTGTGTTGCATTATCAAGAAAATAAGTACTTTACTTTCCCTTCTCATGCCGAGAGGAGAATTTCAATTAATAGTAGACCTTCTCCAACACCATTTGCAACAGGAAAATCTGGTTCTTAAAGTATTTAGCTGAGCGCACTCTCAGTAAGAGCAATCTGTTTTCTTCTAGCTTCACTAAGCTTTCGAAGCTGGAACCCGTTCAGGCTTTTACTGTCCTTCAAATTGGGGCTGGAGCCGGAGAGGAAACACTAGTATCCTGTATATACAACTTCTGTCTGTCTGAAAAAAAAGAGGCAGAGCAAATGGAAAGCAGGCTGTGGCTGCCAGGAATCAATCTCATCTTAAGCCATTCACCCGTTACATTGAAAGAAGGTAGTGAAAAGATAAACATTTTCATTTTAGTCATTTAGCAGACGCTCTTATCCAGAGCGACTTACAGGAACAACATCTAGTTATTTGAATGGTTGAAAATATTTTACGTAGTGTAGATTTCATTTTTTATTTTTAGTCATTTAGCAGACGCTCTTATCCAGAGAGACTTACAGTTAGTGAGTGCATACATTTTCATACTGGCCCCCCGTGGGAAATGAACCCACAACCCTGGCGTTGCAAGCGCCATGCTCTACCAACTGAGCTACAGGGGACTTTTTGTCACGCCCTGGCTCTGGGGACGCTTGTATGTTGAGCCAGGGTATGAGTTTTCTTTGTTTGTTCTAGTTTTGTATTTCTATGTTGGCCAGGGTGGCTCCCAATCGGAGACGGCTGTAGCTCGTTGTCTCTGATTGGGAGCCATACTTAGGTAGCCGTTTGGCATTGTTTTATGTGGGATCTTGTTCCAGTATAGGTTTGTGTTAGAACCGAGGACGTCACGTTATCGTTTGTTGTTTTTGTTGTGGTGTTCTCCAAAAAAAAAAGAAGTATGTTCACAAATAACGCTGCGCATTGGTCCACTGTTTCCAACGATCGTGACAGAAGATCCCACCAAAACTGGACCAAGCAGCGTGTCCAGGAGCCATCACCAGGGGAATCTCTAGCGGATCTCCTTTGCCACCTCGACTGGGTCAAGCCGTGTGAGGAGGAGAGAGGCTGGACTTGGAAGCAGAAGGGCGAAAGTCTGGCGAGAGCTATGGAGGCCTGGCCCACGGGGAGGAGAGACGCCCAGAACATTTTTAGGGGGGGGATCACGCCGTGGACGACGGGGCAGCAGGAGGCCGCCAGGTTACGGGAGTCACTGGTCACCAGGGGGACGGAGGATGTAGAGGCACGGCGAGAGGTACTGGGGTGTGTTGCGAGTCCGGTCCGGCCCGTTCATGATCCCCGCGTAGGGCCAGTGGTGTGTGTTCCCAGTACGGTCCGGCTTGTTCCTGTCCCTCGCACCGAGCCTGTGGTGCGCGTCGCCAGCCCGGTCCGGCCCGCTCCTGCTCCCCGCACCAAGTCAATAGTGCGCTTCGTCAGCCCGGTCCGGCCCGTTCCTGCTCCCCGCACCAAGCCAGTGGTGCGCGTCGTCAGCCCGGTCCGGCCCGCTCCTGCTCCCCGCACCAAGTCAGTGGTGCGCTTCGTCAGCCCGGTCCGGCTCGTTCCTGCTCCCCGCACCAGGCCAGTGGTGCGCTTCGTCAGCCCGGTCCAGCCCGTTCCTGCTCCCCGCACCAAGTCAGTGGTGCGCTTCGTCAGCCCGGTCCGGCCCGTGCCTGCTCCCCGCACCAAGCCAGTGGTGCGCTTCGTCAGCCCGGTCCGGCCCGTTCCTGCTCCCCGCACCAAGCCAGTGGTGTGCGTCGTCAGTCCGGCACAGCCCGTGCCTGTTCCACCGGTGCCTGGTCCGGCACCGGTCAGCTGCTCCACGCCGGAGCTGGAGCGATCCGCTCCACCAGTGTTCAGTCCAGCTCCGGCCAGCAGGGCCAGATCAGACCAGGGGTACTTTGGGGGGTTAGAGAGGGAGTGGGGATCATGCCCGGAGCCGGATCCGCCGCCAAGGCGGAGTGCCCACCCGGTCCCTCCCCTGTGGTGTTTGGTTGGCGCGGTCGGAGTCCGCGCCTTTGGGGGGGGGGTACTGTCACGCCCTGGCTCTGGGGACGCTTGTATGTTGAGCCAGGGTGTGAGTTTTCTTTGTTTGTTCTAGTTTTGTATTTCTATGTTGGCCAGGGTGGCTCCCAATCGGAGACGGCTGTAGCTCGTTGTCTCTGATTGGGAGCCATACTTAGGTAGCCGTTTGGCATTGTTTTATGTGGGATCTTGTTCCAGTATAGGTTTTGTTGTTTTTGTTCGTGTGTTCATTCTAATAAAAAGAAGTATGTTCGCAAATAACGCTGCGCATTGGTCCACTGTTTCCAACGATCGTGACACTTTTATATCACCAATGTTTCATTTTAAAGATAGTTTAACATATTGTGCTCTCTTTTGAAAGTCTACAGGGTGCAGTATAATTATAAAATGACACTGAATATTCACATCATGATAAAGAGAACATTATATATGAAATAAAGAGGAAAAAAGGGGATATGTTTACTTGTTT